GCCCCGGGGCCGGGCCGCCCCCCCACGACCCAGGCCCCCCGCTTCCGGCGCCCCTCACCTGGGGAGTTGAAGACGGGGGGCGAGGAGGGGTTGAAGCCCACCGACTCGGCGATGAGCGTGTTGTAGGGGCTGCTGCCCCCGCGCGGCTGCAGCACGGGGTTGGTCAGGAGGTGGTTCCCCATGGTTCCTGGGGGGCGGAGGGGGCAGGTCAGGCGGCAGCCCGGGGCCGCGCCGAGGGGGGCCGGGCACCCGGCGGCGGCTCACCTCGGTTCAGGGTGGGGGTGCTGTTGATGTCGCCCGCCATGAAGGACGACTCCGTCTGCTTCCGCACTGTGTCATTCCACATCCTCCGGATCCGGCTCTGCGGGGGGGGGCGCAGCCGGGCATGAGGGGGCCCGGGGACCCCTCCCCCTGGGCCCGGTCTCACCCCCCCCGCCCCGCCCCGCCGGGTACCTGGGTCCCGGTGTAGTAGCGGGTGTTGCTGCGCATGGCCGAGGTCTTGAGGGAGCCGTGCGCGCCCCCTGGCGGGGAGCGGATGCAGCAGTACGAGTGGCGCAGGCACTTGCTGTACTCCTTGTGTACCTGCGGGACACGCGCGCGCACGTGTGTGTGTGACCAGACACCTGCGGCTCGCCAGGGGGGCAGCTGAGCTCCAGGACCCCCCCAGATGCCAACACCCGCCTGTGAACCCCGGAGGCATGTGACCCCACCGCGCCTGTGCGCGAGGCTGGTGCCCTACCACTTGCTCCACTCCCAGCTTTCTTTTCGGTAGTTAACTGGATGTAAGAGTCTCATGAATTTCTCTACCCCAGATGACTCTGAGCCTCGATCCTTAGGTCTCAGAGTACTGAGCCTCCCCATCCCCCAAGCGCTGGTCCCTTCTTCTTGAGTGTTTTTTAAGAACCACACTTTAACACATTGACTTAAAAAAAGGGACCTTTCTATCACTACACAATTCACAGTTCTTTCCAGAACTATTCCAGGAGGGAACATGGCACCGGGTGCCCCGTGGTTCCTCACTGGCAGTCACAATTCACTCCCTTGCACTCCGAAGAGAGTGCCTGGGCCCTGGATCCACTCTGCTTGACCCCCCTCAGTCCCCCCACCCCCAGAACTGTGCCCAGCACTGGGACCCCCCGGCCGCCGCCCCTCTCCTCTGCCCAGCCCCACGCCCTGCCACCCTCCTACCTTCTTCTTTTTTTTTTGGGTCCGATCGTGGGGCTTGAACTCGGCCTGGGCGCTGTCCCTCAGCTCTTCAGCTCAAGGCTAGCGCTCTACCACTTAAACCACAGCACCACTTCTGGCTTTTTCTGCTTGTGTGGTGCTGAAGAATTGAACCCAGGGCCTCATGCATGCAAGGCAAACGCTCTACCACTGAGCCACCTTCCCAGCCCAACCCTACCTTCTTCTGCAAGGCGCAGTGAAAAACGAAGATGAAGACCCCCTGGAAGGCGTTGAAGGTGGTGAACAGGTAGGCCATCACCACAGACTCCTTGTTGATGAAGAGGAGGCCGAAGGCCCAGGTGAGACCCAGCAGGAAGAGCAACGCAATGGCCCCCAGGGCCCAGGACCTGAGAGCAGGGGACACAGGTCAGAGCCCCCCAGAGTCCTCAGCACACTGTGGGTGGGGTTGGGGTGGCCCGGGTCCCCTCTGTGAAGCCCGAGGGCTGAGGCAGCCTTGGGGGGGAGCGGGCGGGGGGCTGGCGGCAGCACCAGCGCATGCACAATGCGGAGCGAGTCAACCATCATTTTGTGGCCACTTTGTTTTGTCCTTGAGTGGACTCAGGATTGAGCTTGGCCTCCTCCACTGCCGCCCCAGCCCCAGGCTGCAGGTGCTAATGAGCCCATCTGCTCTCCCATCCTTTAAGTGGCGCCCCACGAGCACAATGAAGCTCCTGTCCCTAGAGCACTGCCACCCGGAACAGTGGGGGGGGGTTGGGCGCCCTCACTTAATATTGTCCAGGCGACTGGAGTCTGGCTTGAGCACGGATGAGCTGCGAATCATCTTGTGCAGTGTCACCATGAGGAACACCAGGTTCACCTGTGCGGGGCGGGGCGGGCCGGGCTGAGGCTCTCTCTCCCTGGAGCTGCCCTCGGCCCCCCCCCCCCCCCCCCCCCCGCCCCGTCCCTCCGGGCTGGGGGGCCACCCTCCATGCGGGCTCCAGGGCCCCATGTGCCTCAGGCCTCGCAGGAGCTGAGCTCCTGTCCAGTTTCACCCTTTCACACCAGTGCCTCTCAGGGTGTGCGCATGTGCTTGGGTGTGCACGTCACGGCCAAGGTCGGCCCTCTCAACTCACCACGATAACGAAGGAGACAGGCCCAATGAAGCTCCAGATAAAGTAATTGTCCACTCGGAGCCAGCAGCTGCGAACACAGGAGACCGTGGGGTAGAAGGATGTTGGGGAGGCTGCTGGGGCCCCCTTCCCTCTGGTCTCTGAGGCCAGCAACCTAAACGGCCTGGCGTGAGGGGCACCACGGAGGCCCAGGAGGCCACGGGGGACACTCACGCCTTCTCGGTGCCGTAGCTGCGGTAGTCAATGGCGGCGGCGATGCCCACCACCAGGGCGGGGAAGCAGTAGCCACCCAGGTAGTAGTACTTGGTGCGCGAGTACTCGCTCTCAAACACCTCCACCAGCAGCAGGTAGAGATGCACGCCCTCCAGGCACAGCCAGGAGAAGGCGGCCAAGAAGAAGTAGTGCAGCAAGCCCGCGAAGATGGGGCAGGCAATCTAGGGGAGCCATAAGAGAAGGTGAGCTGCACCAGGGGGCTGGGGGCGTCTGCTCCCTGCCCCCTCCCCCCCCCCGGCCCTGGCCCACCTCGTACTGCGTCTTGTCTATCCCCACCAGGAAAAGCAGCTCTGCCAGGAAGAGGTTGATGCACAGGTTCTTGTGGATGGTGTTGCGGTCGGTCTGTAGGCCCCGCAGGAAGCAGAAGGTGGAGATGCAGATGGCGAGGCAGACCAGTGAGATCACGATGCCCACCCAGGTAATGACTGACAGCAGCAGCTCGTTGATGCGGCCCTGGTACTGGGGACAGGAACGAGGTTGCATGCTCAGAGCTGGTCACAGGCTGGGCCAGGAGCAGGGCGCATGCCCAGAGCCTGCCTCAGGCCGGGCAGGAGCAGGCCAGGCCGTGGGCTACTAGGAGGGCCTCGGAAGAGAGACAACAGTGGTACCAGCAGGCTTCTGAGCACTTTGGGTGGGCGGAAGCCAGGGGTAACCAGACAGATGCACCTGCACGTGGCCCCCCTGCCCCCCAGCAGGGCCCCCCCTGCCCCCCAGCAGGCCCCCCCCGCCCCCCAGCAGGGCCCCCCCCCCCGTGCGGCGCCTAGCGTGCCGTGCAAAGCAGGGCAGCGGCCCGCCTCGCCCCGGCCGGCTTACGATTTCTCGGTGCGCCATGAGTACGGCGAAGTTGGTGAGGTGGCTGCAGGCACACGTGGTGTGTGTCTTGTTGGACTCCACCAGGCGGCAGCCCTGGGTCGACCAGTAGCCCAGCATGGAGCGCTCCGAGTAGTTCCAGAAGGAGCAGTTGGCGTTGAAGTGGTTCTTGGCCTGCCGGGCGGCGGAGGCAGCAGTCAGAACCGGGAAGGCCCTGTGGGTTCCCCCACACCCAGCCTCGGGGACCGTGGGGGGGGGACACCAATGGGCCGGGCTGTAGAGGGGCCCTGGCTCACCTCCAGGTGGGCCACGGTGAAGATGACAGGGTCCATGAGGAAGACGCGGCTGGACTCCTTGTTGATGGACGCGGCGATCACCTGCGAGTTCACCACCAGCGAGGCGCCGCCCGCGCCCGCCTCGCCCGCCAGCTTCACCGTGGCGTTCTCCGTGGACAGGAAGAGGCCCAGGTTGTTGTAGAGGATGAAGACCACTTTCACCACTCCTGGGGGAGGCGGGGACACAGGGCACTGTGAGAGGCAGCCACCAACCCCAGCCACGGGGACCACCAACCCAGGCCACAGCCCAGGCAAGAGGATCCACAAGCCTTCCCATGGGAGCCAGGACACGGGGGGGTGCCGGCTCCGCCCTCCTCCTCCTCCTCTTCCTCCCGGTGTGACCTCTCCGAGCCTTAGGTGCTCTCTGAGCCGGGTACCCTGCAAACCTGGGTCTCCTTGGGGCTTGGGGGAGACCCGGGTCTCCTTGGGGCTTCATGGGCTGGTGTCTAGGCACTGACCGTTCCGGCTGTTCTGCTTGATGGTGTTGGCGGACAGCTGGATGGAGTTCTCGCTGGGGTACTCCTGGGGAAACACCAGCTCCTGCACCTGGCCCTCCGTGTTCAGGACGGTGACCTCCAGGACTGCGGGCAGGGCGGCAGGTTGCACGGCGTGAGCCTGGGTCCTCGGCAGGGCAAGGCTCCCCCTCCCCCCGAGGGTTTGGGCCGGAGGAGCCGGCACTCACCCACATTCTGCTTGGCTGCCAGGAAGCGGGCGGGTTCCCTGACATTGTCAGCCAGCAAGAAGGCGCCCTCCTCCAGGACATCCAGCAGCATGGTGGCTGTGTGCACCTGCTCCGTGGCGTTCATGTCCTTCCAGGACTCGAGTGCCTCGGGCCGGAGCAGGTTGTCCACCGTCTCCACCACGGCCTGCGTGGCGGGGCGGGGCGGGGCGGCGCCGTGAGCGCTCACTGGTCCCATGGGGCTGAGCTGGCTCCCCCCTCCTTCCCTCCTCCAGACTCCCTGCACCTTACCTTGATGTAATCCTTGCAGGTTCTCTCTCGCTTGTGCATCTAGAGCGATGGGGAAGAGGGGTGTCAGGCTGTCCCTCTGGGCACGGCTCCCCCAAACCTGGGCTCTGGATAGCTCGCTCTGCGTGCCACCCCCCTCCCCCCAAAGATGTCTGCACAGACCGCGCTGGCTTGGAGGAGCGGCGCCCACCTTGTTGTAGTTCTTGCCGGCCGACTCGCGCTCGATGGGCCTCAGCGCCTGCAGCTGGGCGTCCAGGATGTCCAGCAGCTGCTCCAGCAGCTTCACGGACGACGACACGTCCCCCGCGTAGATGGAGCCCCGCGTGTGGCGCGCCAGCTCGCTGGCGATGTTGGCCGCGTTCTCGCCACTCTTAATCTGCGTGCAGTGGGCAGGAAGGGAGCTGGGTGTGTCGGGGACCAGCCTGCCCTCCTCCACCCTTCCCTCCCCTCCTCTCCCCTGCCCCCCATCCCTACTGGCTGCCTCTCTCCTAACTTCCCTTCCCTGCCAGCCCTAGCTTGAGTTCGGGGCTCGCTTGGCAGAGCGGAGGGGGGAGTGAGGTGCAGGGGGGAGGCGGGGGGGGTACCTTCTGAGCAACCTGGTTGACCCAGGGAGATGTACAGTTGCTGAGGTCCGGGCCCCGGGGGTTCCAGAGCCCCAAGGCCGGCAGACACTGGAACGAGGCGATGCCTGGAGGGACAGACGAGGCAGGCAAAGGGGATTTAGACGGACAGACACACAGCAGGACAGACACAACAGGTCAGATAAGAAAGGGAGCCATCCCTGGCTTTCCCCTGGGCTGCCACCACACAGGAGGACCCAGCCACAGCACCCCGGTGGACGCGTGGACTTGTGTGGTTCCCGCCCTGCCCCCCCACGCCAGGCCTCGGCACTCACCCCGAGTCCCCTTGGGGCAGGGCCGCTCCACGAGCATGCCCTGCTGGGTGGCCGGCCACTGGACCCGCCGTGCCTCTCGGGGTTCGCAGAAGAGCTCCGGGGACACGTGCAGGTTGGGGGCGGGGGGTCGCCGGGTGCTGGGGGCCGGGGCTGTGGCGGGAGGCAGGTCGGGTCCCAGCTGATTGATGGCACCCACGGGGTGCGTGGTGAGGGGTGCCCGGCGGAGCGGGGTGGTGGCTGCGGGCGAGGCTGTGCTGGAGAGGGGCGTGGGCCGCGCCGTGGTCGTGGTACTGAGGGGCGGGGAGGTGGCTGGGCCTGGAAGGGAACAGGCGTACCCCTGGGTCACCCGCTGCCGGGGTCTGGGGGCTCCCTAGCAGCCGCTCCACACCACACCCCCGCCTCGCCCCCCACGTCCAGCCTCCGTGCCCACAGGGGCCACGAACCCTCCCTCCCCACCTCCCAGGCCGCGTGCATGATCAGAGGCCCTGGGCAGTGTCCCCATCTGTGAAGCAAGGTGGCATGAGGACGGACAGACGGAGCCTGGCCCCTACCTCGACCGTCCTCACCCGCACTGGGGTCCGGGGGCCCGAACTCCAGGCTGTAGCGCACCACGAAGTAGTTGTTCCACACGTAGAGCTGGTTGTCGCGGGGGTTGTAGTCCACGGAGGACACGAACTGGTAGGGGTTGGGGAAGGCCAGGCCCACGGGCTCCTCGCGGTTGGCGTTGGTGTTGAAGGCGTAGTCCACGCGGTTGCCGGCCGCCTCGCTGTCGTCGTCCACGTAGACGGAGCGCAGCACGTACAGCACCCCGCACACCATGAAGGCGTTGGAGGCCGAGCGCTTGTCGTAGCCCGTCTCCCAGGTGCCCTCGAAGCGCAGCGTGTAGGGGTTCAGCTGGCTCACCACCAGCCGCCCGTTGTTGCCCTCGGTGGCGTAGATGACCCACAGGCCGTTCTCGTCCACCGCCAGGTCGATGTCCGTCTTGCCGCCCCAGCGGTAGGGCGAGGTGTCGTGGTAGTTGGCCGTGTTGATGACCGTCTCCCCGCTCTTGATGCGCGTGCGCAGGTCGTACTTGACGATGTTGCGCGTGCGCTCCTTGTTGTAGAAGACGGCGCCGTCGTACACCACGAAGCCCGTGCCGTCCACGCGGTTGGGCAGGCGGTAGGTGGTGGTGTGGCGGGCGGCCACGTAGTCCTCCCACGAGGCGTACTCGGTGAGCGTGTCGGTGCGGTAGGGGATCCAGGGCATGACGTAGATGCGGTCGCCCGCCTGCAGCGGGTCCTTGCACCACGCGCCCGACTGGTGCTCCGACTCGTGTGTGGACGTGGGTTCCAGCACCTTCTGCAGCGTGCCCGGACACACGAAGACTGGGCGGGGGCAAAGAGGGGCAGAGGGGGGGAGAGAGAGAGAGAGAGGAGTGGGTGACCGGGCGGAGGCCTGGCCGTCCCTCCTCCTGCTGCTGCTGCAGTCACGGTTGCTTGGTAGGGCTGGTGATAGGAGGGGTGTGGCTGGGCCCCCGCCTGGCTGCCCCTCCCCGGAGCTGTCCCCCCTGCAGGCCATCAAGAGTGGGGTTAGTGTGGGGAGGCGGGCGGGGAGGCACCCCTGGCCCCTCCCTGGCTGCTAGAGACCCCGCGGGCTGGGGGTGCCTGGGAAAGGTCTCCCAGCCCTTGCGCCTCCTCTGCCCTAGGGAAGAACTAGGGGCCCCGGGTCCCCTCCTTCACCGGCCAGATCAGAACAGACTTGTGAAATGTCACTGTCTTCCTCCTATAGCAACTGCAAGGTAGAGCCAGGTCCTGAGTCCATCCTCCCTCCCACCCACTGCGGGTTTTGGGGTACCCTACTTCATCCAGTGCAGGGCAGGGGAGGCCCGGGGCCTCCACTCTTCCCCCAGAGCCAGCCTGGTACCCACACGCAGCATCGATGGCGGGGGCAGCCTCCAGGGCTGGCCAGCCGGTGGGGAGGGGCGGGGGTAGAGGTCTCTCAGGGAGTCAAGGATGCACAGGGCTGGGGGGGCCCCCAAGTGGGAGAGGGAGGGGAGGAGAGCTGCGCAGGGAAGAGAGACAGGGGCGGGTCCGAAGTCCTGGCTCCTGGGGAGGCGGCTGGAGCACCTGGGAAGAAAGGGTTAACGCTGGCGGAGGAGAGAGGGGGTGAGCAGAGAATTCACTTGAGGCCCCTTCGGGGGGCAGGTCCAGCTTGGAGGGGGCAAGGGAGGGAACCAGGTGCTAGGATAAAGACCCAGCCCACCCAGCGCGACCCCCCGTCCCCGCCCTGCCCGGACCCCGATTTACCTGTGACCATCCCCGGCTCGGGAGGAGGGACCAAGGCAGCGCTGGTGTCAGAAAGGTGGGGGGCCCCGCCCCACCCCCCCATTCCCTGAAAAGAGGAAAACCTCGACTGCATCTCGTTGACGCCGCTGGCCGGCCCGCGCCCCCTGCTCCTAGCCTGCCCCCTCCTGTGTGGGCCGGCGTGGCCAGGCCCCTCCTCCGCCCCAGGCCCCGCGTGGGCTCCTCGCTCTCCTCCCTCATCTGCGTGAATTCTCTGCTCGTTCTTGGCTTATCACCAAAGCAGCTGGCCTGTGGGGGCCGGGTTTGGGCAGCCCTCTGGCTGGGGGGGGGGACACGCCCAAGGCAGAAGGGGCCTAGGGCACGCCGCAGGCTGAGCGTGCTAGGGGGCCTTGCGCTCACCCCGCCCCGTCCTGTGCACCCAACCTTGCCCAACCTTGCCCTGCGCTAGGCCTCCCCGAGGGCCTGTGTCGTGAGAGTGTGTGTGTGTGTGTGTATGGGGGGGTATTCTCAGCAGGCGCTGCTCAGAGGGTGCAGGGAGGAAAAGCAGTTAGAGGTCACCCTGGGGAAGGGGGGACGGGAGGGTCTGTCTGCAAGGGGCCCAGCCCCCCGTCCCCGCCCAGCCCTGAAGAGATCCAGTGCTGCGGTGAAAGCTTGGCCTGCAAGAAGAGTGAGCGATGCCTGGGCAGAGCTCGAGGGCCGGGGACGGGGAGGGGCGCAGCTCAGGGGGACCCCCACCCTGGGACGCTCCACGCACCAGCGCAACCTCAAGGCAAAGGGACCCTCCAGTCCTCTCGGCTGCCTTCCCCAGGGCTGCCTGCTCCCGTCTGGGGAGGGGAAGGCTCTAGAGGTACCTCTCCCTTCTGCCAGAGATTGGGGGGAGCCGTGGAGGTCCCCAGAGTCCACCTGCACCCCACCACCCGCCCCTCTCCCTGTCTTCTAACCACAACAGCCCGGAAGAAACCCTGACTGCAGCTTCGCAAGCGTGGTCATACCCCCCCTCCCGACCCCCAAGAGCCCCACCCCACCCCCACCCAGGGCTGGGCCCCCCAGCTGGTCAGAGAGGGGGGTGCGGGGGGTGGGGGGCACTGGTGCTCCGCGCTCTCCACACAGCTCTGGGCCTTGGAAACGCCAAACCAGAAGAACTTAAGCCACCAGGAGCCCCCGAGAGAGGAGAGAGAGAGGACAAATCTGCTCCCCAAAAGGAAAACAAAAGCCCCCCCCAACCCAGAGCCAAACCCAGTGCAAGAGGTGCAGAGGCAGAGAGAGAGAGGAGAGAGCGAGAGACAGAGAGCAAGAGACAGAGAGAGAGAGACAGAGAGAGAGACAGAGAGAGAGAGGGAGAGGGACAGAGGGAGGGAGAAAGGGGGAGAGGGAAGGAGGGGGAGAGAGGAAAGGTGAGAAAATAGAGGGAGAGAAAGAGGAAAGGGAGAGAAAGAGGAGAGGGAGAGAAGAGAGAGGCAGAGAAGAGAGAGGCAGAGGTGGGGAGAGGGAGAGGCTTCCTTGGGAGTCGAGGTGCCCAGTGGGCGGGCGGGCGGGCGGGGTCTCTGTGGCAGGGAGGGGCGGGAGGGGTCACATGAGTAGGGCGGGGAGGATAAAGTGTGAGTTAGGGATTAGCATTGGTAACAGTGCGTTTACCTTTCTGCTCCACTTCTACTTAAGCATCAGGAAGAGAGAGAGAAAACAAATTGAAAAAAAAATGTGCAAGAAAAAAAAAAGAGAAAAAAAAAAGATTAAATTGCTTTCGTGCCTTTTTCCTGGCCACATCGCCCCCTTCCTGGCCTTCCTGGACCTGCTCCTTCCCACCCCTCCTGCTACATTGCGTCAGCCCCCACCCCCCAAGACCCTTTCTTGGGGGTCAGGGGAGGGCAAAAGGGGGGGACGGGGAAACAGACAGGACGGGCAGGGGACACACGGGAGGGGAGAGACGGAGGGGCCGGGGTGCAGGCAGGTGACGGACGGCCCTGGGTGGGAACAGCGGGTAAGGGGGGAGCCCAGCTGGGGCGGAGCGCTGGTCGAGGGGGGTGCTGGGAAGGATGACCCTGCTCCCCGCCTGCCTGCTGCCCGGGGAAGGGGTTTCAAGTGTGCTGGGGCCTGGGCGCCCCTCCCAGGCAGAAGCACAGACTGAACCCCTTCCCCCACCAAGTCTAGCTGTGTCCTGCAGACCCTGGGCACCCCAGACACGCTGACAGGGGGTGGCAGGGGCAGAGAGCACAGACAGAGGCGGGGCGAGGGGGGAGGGGGGCAGGACAGACAACCAGGAGAGGACACAGACCAGACAGGACGGCAGGTGGGGGGGCACACGCTCCCACACCCCTCCCCAAGGGGCAAGCCCTCCCGGGCCCTCCCCGAGCTCCGCGATGCCATGTGCGGGCGGCACCTGGGGGAGGAAGGGAGTGGTTAGACCCAGCGCGGCTGCAAAGCAAATCTAGCGTTAGTCCCGTGTCTGGGGTGGGGGGTCCCCTGCACAGCAGTGCCCTCTCCTCGGGAGCCCAGCCCCCCCCCCGTCACCCTCCTGGGCATGAACTTGGGGCCTTCATCTGCTACAGCCCCTCCCCTCCTCCCGGGGGGGGGGGGCAAGCCCTGCCCAGCGCCTTGGGGCCCGGTCCTGGCACTGGGCGGGGTGGGAGGGTACAGGGGAGCTGTCCGCTTCCCTGTCTAGACTCTCAGCTACCCGTTGTGGGGTCAGGAGTTCGGTTCAGCACAGCTCTGCCAGGTGTCTGTCTGTCTGTCCATCCTGTCTCCAGAAGGGCTCACCCTGGCTTTCCCCTTGGACTGTGGGCCCAGAGCTGTGGGTTCTGGGACGCCCAAGCGTCCACCTGTTCTAGAAAGAGCTCCCAGGCCTGTGCCCCCCCCCCCCCGGGCTCCACCTGGCCTGGGGAATTTTCCCTGCGCTCATCACCGGCTGCTATTTTTATCTTGATGAGCGCAGCAATAACCGCCATTGGGAAGGAAGGAATGAGAAGTCACAACAGAAGCCATGGCTCCCCAGCGCCCGGCGCCAGCAGGCTCCGAGGAGAACCCTGTCTACGGCTGGAGAAACTGAGGCCCCAAGAAGCGGAGCTGCGTGGCCGGCTGCCTGGGCCTCTGCAGGAGCGGGCGGCCCTTCCAGAGGCGGGGAGGGAGGTGCCTCGGCCCAGCGGGCCCAGGGCTGGGCGCTGAGGGGCAGGCAGGGGAGTGGAAGCTTCTGCCTGCGGGGGGATGGGGTGGGGGGATTGGGGGGGGCTAACACTCAACCCTCAAAACCCTGCCAACAGGCAGACCAACCCAACCCCTCCGGGGCTCAGAAATGCAGTCGCTTGCTGGGGACGTCAGAGCCAGACAGCCCCGCCCACTCCCTCTGTCCCCTCCCCCAGCTGTCCAGGCGTGCGGCTGGGCAGTGTCCCCAGTGCTGGAGGGCAGACCAGCGCCCCCCGGGCGGGTGGAGGCCTCGGACACTGCAAGGAAAGGGCAGACACGAAAAGGAGAAAGTTACAGAAGCACGGGCCCTCCCGTCTCCTCAGCATCCTTGGTCACCTGCGAGGAGAAAGCAAAGGTTGGGCGGTGGGCGAGGGCGGGTGGGAGAGGAGGGGAAGGAGACGTCAGGGTCTCCTGCTCCCCGGCCCCCCCCCCAGACACGCCGGTGTCCCTGCCTCCTCCCCCCTCAGACCGGAGGCCCTACCTCCAGGCTGGCTATGTGAAGCCAGGCAGGGGAGGAGAGAGAAGGGGTGGTGGAGAACAGGGTGGGCAGGAGAGGAGGGTTGATGTTGAGGGCTGGCACTGAGAGGGAGAGATCTATCTTTGCTCCCCTTAGCCAGGTCCAAGATGGCCTGACTCCTGGCTCCCCAGATCTTTCCTCAGGCTACCTGGGGGGAAAGGGGGAGGGGGAGGGCACTTTCAATCCAATATGGTAGCACTTCCTTTGCAGACAGGAAGTGCTATGGTAGAAGGGGTTCTGCTAACCAAGAGATGGGAAACCATCAAAGATACCTCAGCCCTTTGCACCAGCTCTGCCGGTAGGCCTCAGAGGATGGCTGGCCGCTCTAGGGGCACAGGGTCCAGCTTCCATGACATGGGAGAATCACGGGTGGTGTGGGGAGGAACAAGGAGGAGTTGAAAGAGGAAGGGGGTGAGTGAGCGGAGAGCAGGTGTGTGAGGGGCGTCAGGAAGGGAGGTGTGTGCAAACAGGAGGCGGCTTGCGGTGGGGAGTGTCTGGGAGGTGGGACCAGGCCCGTTCCGGGGGCATGTGTGTGTGTGTGTGAGTGTGTGTGTGTGTGTGAGTGTGCGCGCGCGCGATGTGTGGGCCGTGTTCAGGGTGGGTGTCTCCTCCTCGCTTGCTATGTGGGGCAGGGGGAGGAGGACCCGAGTCGGCAGAGGAACAAGGTGACTCACTGTAGGGGACACAGTCGTACTGCACCTCCAGGTACTTGTAGGTCCCAGGACAGGGGTCAGGAAAGGCATCAGAGCCGGCCACCACCACGCACTGGGTTCGGTTGTTACACCTGCAGGAGGGAGACAGCAGAGCTGGGAAAAGGCAGATCCACATCTAGGATGGGGGGGGGGGGCTCCTGCGTCTGGAAGGGGGTCACTCCAAGCACAGAAGGGCTGGCAGCGAGAGACCTCGCCAGGCAGCCCGGTGGGCATCACTTTGTTATCTTCCTGCCTGGTTGCTTTCCCGCCCTGGTTCTTCCGACACTTCCTGCTTGGGGCTGAGCTGGTGGACCCGCCCTTCCCCCTCAGCATCCATTTCTCAGGTCAGCTCTGGCTACTGCAGTTAAACCAGGAGGCATTGGCGGCCTGGGCAGCAGGTGAGGCACCCCCTCCCCGCCCCCCCTCCCTGCCCCCCTCCCCCCCACCCCCAGCTCACAGCAGGCTGGATCTAGCCAGGGCAGTGCACTCTCCCAGGAGCCAATCTGTGGCTCTCTAACAGAGAAGCTGCGGACGCCCTTTTGGCCCTGCCTGAAGAATAAAGCAAGGACCAGGCAGGGAGGGGTAGCAAGGCTTCAAGAACGGCAGGGGAAGACCTCACCAATCTAATGGAGCTAGCAATCCTGCTACCCACGTAGCCACATGTCTACCTACAGAAGTGGCTCACGCCTGTCATCCTAGCTCCTCAGGAGGCTGAGGATCATGGTTCAAAGTCAGCCTAGGCACAAAAGTCCATGAGACTCTGATCTCCAATGATCCACCAGAAAACCGGAAATAACGCCCTGGCTCAGGTGGTAGAGCTGAGGGACAGTGCCCAGGCCCAGAGTTCAAACCCCACAACCAACAAAAAATAAAACAAAGTAAAAAATGAAGTGTGCCCGATACACACACAACAATATTCCTTAGAGTTGGGCTGCTCAGGACAAAGCAAGCTCGTTGTAACTGAATAGGAAAGTGGCAAAAAATGAATGAATGTATGTTGGAAATCTGGGAGATTATACAATTGTTTTTTTAAAAAAAAAAACTAGCCAGGTGCCAGGGGCTGACACCTGTAATCCCAGCAACTCAGGAGGCTGAGATGGAAGGATCGCGGTTCAAAGCCAGCCCAGGCAGGAAAGTCCAAGAGACTCTTATCTCCAATAAATCACCAGAAAACAAAGTAGCACTATGGCTCAAAGTGGTGGAGAGCTAGCCTTGAGCAGAAAGGGCTCTGGGACAGTGCCTAGGCGCTGAGTTTGAGCTCTAGGACTAGGACCAAGAACAGCACCAGGCAGGGCAGGGACAGGGGAAAGAGGAAGAAAACGCACTGAGGGCTGGGAAGGTGGCTCAGTGGTAGAGCGCTTGCCTAGCCTGCAGGAAGCCCTGGGTTCGATTCCTCAGTACCACATAGACAGAAAAAGCCAGAAGTAGAGCTTGGTGCAAGTGGTAGAGTGCTAGCCTTGAGCAAGGATCAGGGACAGCGCCCAGGCCCAGAGTTCAAGCCCCAGGACTAAACACAGCATTGATATTCCAGCTGGAGATTCTATATCCCAGACTCCTCAGGGGCTGAAAGATCACGTGCCCAAACCCCAGCCAATGAGGTGGGAGTGGGCGTGGTCAGACATAAAAAGGGCGGGGCTCAGGCAAGGGCATCTGCCTGACTCCCTCTAACCCTCCCCAGGTCTCTCAGCGATGGAGAGGGGGGCTAGAGACAGGGGCACAGGAAGGAAGGAGAAGCACGTGCTGGTGGAGGACCACAAGGATGACAGGAACATCGATCCAGGCAGAGGGAACAGGAGGTCCAAAAGCCTGTCATCCCAGCTACCCAGGAGGCTGAGATCTGAGGATCGCGGTTCAAAGCCAGCCCGGGGAAGGAAAGGCTGAGAGACTCTGATCTCCAATGAACCACCAGAAAACCGGAAGTGGTGCTGTGGCTCAAGTGGCAGAGCGCTCGCCTTGAGCTGAGGAGCTGAGGGACAGCGCCCAGGCCCAGAGTTCAAGACCCGCAACCAACAACAACAATAACTCAGAAGGCCATGAAGGTGCTGATGGGCGCACGCGGCTGGGCTGTGTGGCTGGGGTTACAGCCAGCCACACATGAGCTGGTCTACACACTGCAGCACGCTCTGGCACAGACACGTGCAAAAGCACACACACGCATGGACCCCCACACGCAGATCTACGCATGCGCACACACACACACACCTGCACGCACGCACACACACACACCTGGCTCAGGCACAAGCATGCACAGATGTCACAGGCAGTCCTGCTGGCCCCCCCTGGAATCTGGGGCAAAGAAGGGACTTCCCTGTGCCCCGTGGCGCCCTCCCCTGTCCCTTCTCCAGCGGACCCCCTCTGTCCAGGGGTCTGACTGACCGGTGGGGGAGGGAGGGCCTCAGAGCAGGTGAACAGGTGCTCAGGCCGGGACTACAGGAGGGTGCCCAGGGGGCTGCTCACCTCTGTGACATGATCTTGAAGGCGTCGGGCAGGTAGCACTGCACATTCTCCATCTGGAAGGGGTCGGCGTCGCAGATCTTGTCATCGGTGCGCCCGTAGTTGGCGTTCTCCACCATGATGACGTCGCTGCCCGGGCACCGCAGCTCGATGGGGTAGCCCTCGCAGGCCAGCTCCCTGCGCATCAGCCCGAACGGGAGCCCCGCCCGGCTCAGGCCTGTGTGACAGATGGGGCAGCATCACCTCTGGCCTGTGGGGAGGGAGGATCCCCGGGGAGTCTACCCCCAGCTCAGCTGACTGCGCTAGCCTCAGTTTACATCTCTGCACCTCACTGCGAGGGTCAGGACAGAGGCCCACAGGCCCTGGCCTCACCCGCCGCAGTCTTAGCTTCTTTTTTGTCGGTCGTAGGGCTTGAACTCAGGGCCGGGGCGCTGTCCCTGAGCTTCTCTTGCTCAAGGCAAGTGCTCTACCATTTGAGTCACAGCTCCACTTCTGGTTTTCTGGTGTTCATTAGAGTTCAGAGTCTCACAGACTTTCCTGCCCGGGCTGGCTTTGAACTGCGCGATCCTCAGATCTCAGCCTCCTGAGAAGCTAGGATGACAGGTGGGAGCCACCAGCGCCCTGCCAGCCTAGAATTCATGATCTTCTTGTCTTGGTCTCCCTGATGCTGGGATTCCAGGCATGCATGACCAGGCTGTCACACCAGATTGGAGGGAGGGGGAAGGGCAGGTGCAGGAGACATACTTCATTTATTTTCTCTGGTGGTACTCATGTTCATGTATTTGCTAGGCAGGTGCTCTACTACTTGAACCAGGTTTCCAGCCCTGACTTGGGTTTTGTTGAGAACTAGGGTCTCAGTGTAGACCAGGCTGGCCTGTAACGCCAGCTTCAGCGTCGCAAGTGTGCTGGGACCACAGGTGTAAGCAGCCGCGCACGCGTGAGACTCGCAATCCTAGTAGGTTGGGGAGGGAGGGCGTGAAACAAATCTTCACTGGAGCCGGCCCCTACACCCAGCCCATGCCCCAGAGATGCCTCCCCAGACCCCAGGCTCCTAACCTAGGAAACGGGGACCCCTTGGCCCCAGGAGGACTGGAGGGCTTCAGATACTGAAGAACGTAGCTTTGTTGTTACATGCCAGTACGAGGTTTGAACTGGGGCCCAGGCGCTGTCCCTCAGCGCTTCAGCTCAGGCCTGGCCCTCTACTGCTTGAGCCACAGCACCACCTCCGGTTTCTGGTGGTTTATTGGAGATGAGAGTCTCACGGTCTCTCCTGCCCTGGCTGGCTTTGAACCGCGATCCTCAGATCTCAGCCTCCTGAGTAGCTAGGATGACAGGCAGGAGCCACTGGCGCCCGGCTCCCTAAGCTTTTTTGTTTTTTTTTTTCACTCAAGGCTGGCGCTTGACCACACGAACGATTAACTTTCCGAGGTGAGTTAGAGATGAGCGCCTCCCAGACTTCCCTGCCTGAGCTGGCTCTGGACCTCAGCCCCCGCCGTGGCTGGGACGAAAGGCGTGAGCCACGAGAGGGGGGCCTGTCTCTGCCAGGCTGGCTCCCGGGCTGCGGAGCCACGCGGCCGGCTGGGCCCCGCCTGAGACTCAGGAGCTCCCGTGGGCACAGCCCCACGCCACGGTCCCCTGGGGCCGAGGCAAGGACAGAGGGGGCTTGAACCCAGGGCCCAGCCAGGCCAGGGGCGGTCCTGGTGTGCCGGAGCTGCCCTGCCACGTGGAACAGGTGTGTTCCCGGGGTGAGCTGGGGGGGGCGCCCCTTCTAGAGGCCCGGTCCCGAAGGTGCTGTGACAATGGGGCCCCTGGGGTTTTTTGGGGTGAGCGGAGCCCCAGTCGGGAGAAAGTTTTACATGAGCCACTCACACCATCTGCTTCCTAATCTAATTTTAGTGTCGCTGGGCGGGTGGAGGGGCGGGCAGGCGGGAGGGAGGGAGGGAGGCCGGGGGCGGAGGGCTGCCTCATTGGACGCTGGGGAGTGGAGGTGCGTGCCCCTCCTGGCCCAGCTGGGGCTCAGGGGCACAAGCGGGGTGGCTGAGAACCTGGGCGCTGGCGGGTTGAGACGGTGGGTCGGGCAGAGGGAGCCGTGCCAAGGTCCTGGGGCACCAACGGACGGCGCGTGTCCCCCCCCCTCCGGTTCTATGGCTTTGTGGAGGAAAAGGGCAGGCAGGGGGGGAGCGGGGGTGCAAGGGACAGTCATTGAGTGATGGCCGGGGTGGGCACGGCCGGGGCGCTAATTGTGGCAGCGTGGCGGGTGTGGGGCGGGCGGGTAATTAGTTGTTTTTAAATAAACGTCAGCGGGCGTGCTTTAATTAAGCCTTCCTCCCAGGGAGACTTCTGTCTGAGATGTAATCAGAGAGAGAAAGAGAGAGAGACAGAGCCCCAGGAGGACAGGAAGGTTCTGGGGCGAGCCCCCAGTTATGTTGGGGTACGGACGAGTCCCCTCCCCACGGCGCGGGGCAGGAGGGGGTGGCGCCTACCTTGGGTGGCGGAGGTGACCAGGACGGCGGTGACGCAGAGGCTCCAGAGCACGGCGGCCAGGCGGGCCATGGCGGTGGCGGGGAGCGTGCGTGCGCGGGGCTCTCACTGAGCGGAGCAGGGCACCTGGCCCCGCATCACCGGGCAGCCACCGCAGCCCGGCCCACCAGTCTGCGGGGAGAAACACGGGTGAAGCGTGGCTGGAACCCCCCCTCCCCAAGAAGATGGGGGCTGGAGCCAAGCCCCTGGTTGCTTACAAATGGCCAGGTCTCTCCCTCAGGCCCGGGAGACCTCCTTAGGGCACTGTGGCTGCCAGGCACCAGCCTGCACCCAGCATCCCCTGGGTTTCCTATCGAGATCTCCGACCCCCTCCGGCTGGGGGCCCCGGTGTCCCCGGCCTGCAGCTCTGGGGCAGGCAGGCTCCCAGGCACCGCCCCGGCCCCCCATTTCCTGTCTCTCACCATCCTGCAGCTAATTAGAAGCCAGGAGGCTGGCGCCACAGAGCGGGGACCAGGGATGCCCCAGGCCCCTCATTCCCCAGCAGGGGACCCCCAAGGTACAGTGGAGCCAGGCAGGCGGTGGCAGCCGGCCCCCAAGCCGGCCCTCCATCCTCTGCGGCTCTGCGCCAGTCTGCGTGCTGTTCCCGTGAGCCTCCTGCTTCTCCCAGCCACGGTCTCCCTGAGCACGTAAGAGGTGACACGCTTGCACACCCCACTTGTCCAGAGGGGGACCCCAGGCCTGGCAGCATCAGCCTGGCCAGCAACTTGCTTAGAAGCAACACGGCCCTTGCAGGGAAGGGCTCTCGGGTTTGTCCCCCCCTGTGCTATCCCCCCCCAGCTGCCTGGGACCATCACCATGTTCCCCATCTCTATTCCCAGCCGGCCCTGCGCGTCTCTTCCACAATCCTTGCAAAGATGCCCCAGCCCCCCAGCTCACTGCCTGACCTCCACTCTGCCCCAGGGCCTTTGCACCTGTCTCAGGCCGACAGCTACCACCTGAGGCCCAGGCGCACGCTCACACTGAGCACGCAGGGACCACAAGGTGACATGGATCTGGGCGCCAACCTTGCCCATGGGAAGGTCGGCGCCCTGCTGGGGTCCTGGTTCCTCGCAGGAACCTCAGATCAGCGACGCTGACGCCGGGGCGCCCCCCGCCCCCCCACTTCCTAACTCCTGCTTCCACTGCTCCCTTGCTGTAAGGTCACTGGGCACCGCGGTGGTTCCCGCCTGTCATCCCAGCTACCCAGGAGGCTGAGATCTGAGGATCATGGTTCAAAGCCAGCCCGGGCAGGAAAGTCCCTGAGACTCTGATCTCCAATAAAACACCAGGAAACCGGAAGTGGTGCTGTGGCTCAAGTGGTAGAGTGCTCGCCTTGAGCAAGAGAAGCTCAGGGACAGCGCTCAGGCCCTGAGTTCAAGACCCACGACCGACAAAACAAAAACAACAAAAGAAACAGAACTTCAGCCTGGCTGGCCTTTAACACCCCAGAGACCCCGAAGCCCCCCAGAGATCCCGAACCCCCCCACAGCTTCTCATCACAACTCCACCAATCCAACAGCCCCCCCCAGGCCACAGCCCCCCCCCTGCAAAGCCCCTCCTCCTGTTTCTGGGTCTGTCTGTGGTACTCTTGGTTCTTTGGGGGGGAGAGGGGGGAGCAATCCTGGAGCCTGCGCGCTGCTCCTGGGCTTTCTGGCACTACACAAACCCTGAGAGTCGCAGACTTTCCCACCTGAGCTGGCTTCATCTCAGCCTCCTGAGCTGGCTTCATCTCAGCCTCCTGAGTACCAGCTCTTAAGGCCGAGGCTGGCTGGAGCCATGACAGGGACAGCTCTGGCTATCCAACACCCGCCCTGGCCTCCTCACAACCTCCCGGAGACCTTGCTGTGGAGGCTGGGTCACCTGCTGGCCGTTTTATAACATCCTCCCTTGGGGGGGGCAGAGCTCCCAACCCGGGTGTTTTCTGCGCGGCCATGAAGCTGACAGGTGTGGACAAGGGGCTGGGTGCTCAGAGGCCACGAGGCGCCGTCCAGAGACGGGAGCGGCCGGCAGCAGACTCCCTGGGGACCCCCTCCACCCGCTCCCCACCCCCACCAGACCCCCACCAAGCCCCTCCATGGCTGCTGAGGGGGCTCCCCCAGCCTCCCAGTACCCCACAACCCCAGCTCCTCTCCCTGCCAGCCCTACAGGAAACCGGACACAGCGGCGTACGCCTGTAATCGCAGCACTCCAGAAGCAGAGGTCAGAGGACGGTGGCGAGTTCTACACCAGCCTGAGCAACAGAAGGAAGCGTTGTCTCAACGCAGAATGACAGAATCAGAACAACAACGAGAAGGCTCCAGAACTCAAACGCTGAACTCCAACAGGGCCCGGCTAACCACTCACAACGCCCAGACCTTAAGGGTCTCAGGTTCAAGGGCAGCCTGGGCAGGAAAAAAGTCCTCAAGACTCCACTGCAATTAACTGGCAAAAACCTGGACTGGAGGCATGGTTCGAGTGGTAGAGTGCCAGCTATGAGCAAGAACGGGGGGAACGGTTTGAAATCCCGAGTTCAAACATCCCTATCGGGACATGCACACGCGCACGTGTGCACACACAGATCTTGTGCGTGTGTGTGCCACCGTACTAGGGTCTGAAGCAACTTTTCTCCCCTCTAACGAGAACTCTTGAATTTAGTGACCACACTCTTCCCCCTCACTCAACCTGGGGAGTATTTATTTGTTTTCTAAGTTTGTTATCTAATGCCGACCTCGTGTGCACAGGGACCCTACAGCAGCCCCTGGAGGTCCGTGCCCGGCTTTCTGTCAGCGGGATGAATTTTTCCAGGTCCATCCGATGGCGGAAGGAAGGCGGATTTTCTTCTATGACTGTACCACCTCTGGGGTGGGGGGGGGCACGTTTTGTTCAACTCTTCCTGGTTGGCGGACACTTGCTGTTTGTCCCCTTAGCTTGCTTGCTTGCATCCATCCATCTTGTGTGTGTGCAGGGACTAGTGGGGCTTGAACTCGGGGCCTGAGCAATTTTACTCAAGCCTGGCGCTCTACTGAGTTGAGCCACAGCTCCACGTCCGGTTTTCTGGTGGCTCACTGGAGAGGAGACTCAAGGGCTTTCCTGCCTGGGCTGGCCTCCAGCCTCGATCCTCAGACCTCAGCCTCCTGAATAGCTAGGCTGACAGGCACAAGGAACTTGGAATCAATGTGCCGCCGTTCCTGGACCCCAGCAGCACCGATTCGCTGGCCATGAGCTCCGTCCAGTGGGCACAGCTTGCACGATGTGTGTGTGCAGCAAAGATCCTCCAGGGCTGTCATGCCTCTCCCCAGTGGCCTCACCGGCTCTCCACCTGTGTCCTTCAGGTCCGTGTGTGCTGGGCTCAGCTGGCCCCAGGGACCTGGGTGTCCATCCCGCTGTTACAATGTCCTGCGGTCACCGCCTGCCATCCACGCCCGGCCGCTCCGACTGCCTGTTCCCCTCTGCCTGCAGGGCGGGCGCTGGCACCCCCGGATCCCAGGGGGGCCTAGAAGGGGTGCCCACGCGGCAGCCGGGTGGCTACAACAGCAGGTGGTTTCCTCACAGCTCAGGAAGCCAGACGTGGAAGTGGAAGGTACTGGAGACTTCAGGGTGCACTGGGCCCCCGGTCCCGCCTTTGAGACAGCTGCCTTCTCCCGGAGGCCGCGTCAGCCCCGCCTTTCCCTGGGCCTCTTCTGTGTGCTGGTCCTGGGGTTTGAACTCAGGTCTTGGGGGCTGTGTCCTGAGCTTTTCTTTGGTTGTCTTCAACTGGCGCCTCCACCCCTCGAGCCACAGCTCGGCTTCCGGCGCTGTGGTGGCTCAGCGCAGGTGAGCCACGCATGAACTTTCCTGCGCAGACACTCGGGTCTCGGCCTCTTGCGCGGCTGGGGTGCGCGGGCCGGGTCTGGTGCTGTCCTCCACCTCCCGGGCCTCCGTCCTCAGCCTCCCCAGCGCGGCGGTGACAGACGTTCGCACCCCACCCGGCTCACGCCTCCGTGTCCCTCCCAATCCAGTCACGCTGCTCCGGGTGCGGGGTGCGCCCGGCCGGGCCCCGCCGGAGCCCCCAGCGTGGAGGGGGCCGGAGCCGAGTCCACCCCGGACCCGGGGGCCACAGCCCCGGCCCACACTGGGCCCCACGGGGCCGCGGCCAAGGCCCCCCACCCCAGGGCTTTTTTGGGGGAAAAGGGGAGAAGGCACACGGAGTGTGACCCTCATCCCCCCACGGCTCGGTGCACAGGGAAGAGGAGGGGGGACAGCGCCGCCAGCCGCACCCCTGCCCGTCCCCGCGCCGGCGGCTCCCGCCCGCCATCGAGCTCCTCGGGAGGCTGCCATCTGAGGATCGCGGTTCCAAGCCAGCCCCGGCAGGAAAGTCCGGGAGAAACCTGAAGTGGCGCTGCGGCTCGGGTGGAAGAGCGCCGGCCTCGGGGAGAAAAGCCAAGGCCAACACCTGGGGCCTGAGCTCAGACTCAGGACCGCCCGAAGGGGGAGGCCCGTGGGCATGCGCGGCGTGTGGCTCCGGCGGCCCCTCCGGGCATGCGCGGCGTGGCTCTTGGCGGTGGCGGCCCCTCCGGGCATGCGCAGCGTGGCTCTTGG